ATAGTTTCCATTTTCCTAAATCTATAATAGCTAATTTTCATATAATTTAAGATATAACTTGCTTTTTAGATAGTAAAATTTAAAGTCATGACTGTTACCCAGGAGTTTTCAGACACCAAACTAGCTTTGTTACTAAAAATAAAAAATAAATTAAATTTTTGGAATGAAAGATTTTAGATAATGTTAATGGGATTTATGGTCAATATTTAGACTAAAGAGTAAGTTTACAAACAAATAGATCAATGAACGGCATCTTGTCTTTTGAATTATATTGTATATTATGAAACGCATACTCAATAAAGGCAATCGTCAGTCTTTTCGGTAATTATTTAGATGAGAACCACAGGGGTTATGTGTGGCTCACAATCACTTGGGTCACACTTGTTCATGAAATGCCGAAAACAGTTTCGGATATATCTGGATGCATTCGACACTCCATGAACAAGTGTAGCTGAAGTGATTGGGAACCACGCGTAATTCGAGCAGTTTCCATATAAATAATTACATTTTTTCTTGCTTCCGTAATTTTCCATTTGATGTCGAAATCAAGAGAAATAAAATAAATAGTTTGGTTTAGCAATAATGTCGCTGTTAGTTAAGTTAGATAATTGGGTTTTCCACTACAATTGTTAATAGTTATTTCATGAAATGTCTAATCGCATCTCAAGAAGCCTATTCTCAACGAGTTATTTAATCTACCAATGCCCTTTAGGAATAAAATATAACTCTTATAAAAATAAGTAATGTGTATATTACAATAGTAATTGTAACTGTTGTCTTTATTATTGATTGTCAATTAATTTTGAACAAGTGCACTTTCATAATTATAGCATCAATGCGTATAATAAAAATATAACAAATCTATAATAGCAGCTAAGGCTATTTTCCGTAAATCATAAAATTGCAATAGTGAGCCAAAATTTTATTACACTGCTTGCAGCGTGACAACGCCTGAAGTAGGGCGTCAGATCGATATAGAATTTCTGGTTGTATATCGATAGTTTTAATTAAAGGTCGAGAAATATTACCACCGTTAGTGATTTATCAAACTTTAAAAGTTCTACAGCATATTTTTCTGGTATTAAGTTACCGCAATCATATTTTTCAATTATTTACAACAATTGATGAATATTAAATAATGAAAACAAAGAATCGCATGATCATGTGTATCGATTCTGTTCTGACTGCTATCAGCACAGTTGAGTGGAGTGGGGGGTCGAAAGTTTAGTGTTGGTCTAGTTCGAGGGGTCGTTGTATAACGGTTTTCCTTATTTTAGTATAGAGATGGTGTTTTGTTTAAAACACCTAAGTGGTTAAATTTAGTTTTAAAAGTTACGATTTTGACTAATTCGTTGTTGTAAGAGTTATGATTTAATCTGTGAAAACTTAAAAATGGCCTCATCACAGGATGCTTGGTATTTGTCTCTACTCGGTTTGGCGGAACATTTTCGTACTTCGAATCCTCCCGATATAAGGAAATGCATTCAGTGCTTAAATGCTGTGTTTACTTTTAAGCCTCCTACGCGAGTTGAAGCTAGGACACATCTTCAGCTTGGTAATATATTGTTGACACATACAAAAAATACCGATCTTGCAAGAAATTATTTAGAACAAGCTTGGCATCTGTCTCAAAATATTAATACTTTTGATGATGTGAAATTTGAAGCAGCTAGTGTTTTGGCTAGTGTCTATGAACAGCAGAACCAGAAGCCTTTATCAAAATCTATTTTAAGGAAAGCAATTGAATTATCTCAGCATAACGTTTATTGGCATTGCAGACTTTTATTTCAGCTCGCTCAAATTCATGCTACTGAGAAGGATTATGAGCTAGCTTGTAGTCTGCTGAGTGTAGGAAGTGATTACGCTCAGATATCATCTGCCAACTATACACGGTTGTTATTTCTTCTTAGTAGGTGTATGTTAATGTTAATTGACAAGAAGTTTTCTGACGTGCTTCAGCTTCTAAATCAATGTAGTCATCTTCTCGAAACCTGGCAAGGTAACCAGTATCAAAAGGAATATCTCAAAGTGTTCTTTCTAGTTCTTCAGGTGTGTCATTATTTAGTGGCAGGACAAGTGAAAAGTGTAAAACCTTGTTTGAAACAGTTGCAGCAAAGTATTCAAGTAATAATGCAGCCTTCCTGGCCATCAGATGAAGTTGTTAGTGGTTCCAATGTTGGTGATATGTTTATTTGGATGCCTAAAGAGCATTTATATGTTCTCGTGTATTTAGTTACAGTAATGCACAGTATGCAGGCAGGATATATGGATAAAGCTCAAAAATATACTGATAAAGCTTTACTGCAAATTGAGAAGCTAAAGATTGTTGATAATAGTAAAATTCTTTGTGCTTTACAGTTGATGCTTTTAGAACATATGGTTATGTGTCGTTTAGTAATGGGACAGAAATGTATTGCTTTGACTCAAATGGCTAATGCATCGGCTCTCTGTGTAGCTAATCCCAGTCTATTAAAAACTCACAAACCCCAGCTACATGTTCTTATTGGCTTGTATGCCATGTCCATGAACTGTATGCAACACGCTGAACAGCAGTTTAATACAGCAATAGCTTGTTCTCAAGAAAGAGATCTCTGGACATTCGCTAAACTTAATCTTGGAATTGTTTATTTGAGAGAGAAACGAGAAGCTGAGTTTAATGCTCTCTTAGAATTTATAAATCCTGATACGCTACCCTCACATTCTCATAGCTTAAGAGCAGCAGCTTACTATGTTCTAGGTTTGCAATCTTTTTTCCAATCTAGGCACAATGAAGCTAAAAGGTTTTTAAGGGAAGCTTTAAAGATGGCTAACGCTGAGGACTCAAATCGGCTTACCTCTTGTTCCCTGGTACTTCTAGGTCACATTTTCCTGTCACTTGGTAACAGTAGAGAAAGTATGAATATGGTTACACCAGCCATGCAACTTGCAAGCAGGATCCCTGACGTTCATGTTCAACTGTGGGCATCAGCCATACTAAAAGATCTCTATAGAATGTGTGGGGATCCAGCGAGAGAAAGTGAAGCTTATCAAATGCATTGTAACTATTCTAGTTTGTTGCTCAAGGATCATTTCCAATCAACTCAAATGCCTGAGCATAATCTTATTAACTGGACTGAGGGAGATAATCCACCTTTACCACAACTTTGTAGCAGTGGTAGTTTTCGTTCCTAAATAGTAATAGTGTCTTTTATTTATTAGCAATACAATTACAGGACTTATAGATATTCTTTTTCCATTATTATGGTTCATTAACCAAAAAAAAATGTATATTTATTTTAACCTTCATTTGTTTATTTGTACACAATTTTGATAACTTATTGAAAATACTCATGGTTTTTAAAACAAAAGAAAAACTTGGATGAAGGTATTGTACCATTTATGCTGATTGGGAAGCAAGTTAGATTTGAACTTGTTAAAGAAAAAGGAAGGCTTCATTGTAAAAATCGTTCTGGATCACCTCAACTGATAGGCAAGCCAGTCATCATTATCATCTTATGAATATTGTAATATTCTAAGGCTCCAGAACTAAAGAAACAAAGGAAAATCATGTTCAACGAAGGTATATTTATCATGTTTTTGACATTTATCTACTCTTTTAAATTATTTTTTTCATTTATAAAAATACTTTTTTTTTTAAACTGTTATTTTTAAAAAAATACTATTTTTCATCAGTCGATAATATTTGCTTGTGCTATATGAGGTATCAATTCACAAAACTTTGAATTAATGAAAACTTTATTTAAATGTTTTCCTAATGCTGAGTTGTTCTATGTAGCAGAAAAACAAATGTAGAATCTTTTGTACTCCTCTTGTAGTTAAAGTATAGTTACTTTGAGGTTTTATATAGTAGGATGAAAAATTTAATTGCTGCTGTCGTCATGAAACCTGGGCTCCCTATGTCGAATTAACTTTTTGTTTGGATCCTGTATTTTATAATATCTCTACATATATTATTACAATAAGGCTCGAAATCGATTTTGTACCAAATATAAGCTCCTGTCATGCTCAAATACCATGAATGGGGTACCGTTGGATTCAGAATTTCATGGGGGGTTAGCAAATCGTATTCTCCACTTTTGTTTTTCTTTCTAAAATAAATAAAGTCTATACAAACATTTTGCTAGGCTTCAATACTGAAACGGTGGTAGGTCTGGAGATCAATGCGGGACAAATTGGACCTTGAATATTTCGATGCGTACAGCAATATATCCTCCGAAACTATCGGGTCCTGCGTTTTTAAGCCCAAAAACATACCATTTTCGAGATAACGCAAGGCATGGGGTTCACATCCACACAACCTGACCTTAATTGTAGTATTGTCATTGGATATATGTCTCATTTTGTCGACTTCAGGACTCTATGATCGAGACAGGAGGAGTTTATATTATTTATCGATGGTGTTTTTGATCAGCAAGCCTAGCATTGCTAATTCTTCACCAAATCTCTAGATTGAGCTAACAATTTCGAAGGCTTCCTTCTTCAGGCGGGCAAAATAGTCCAATCACCCCGAAAATTCAGGCAAACAAATTATGAAAGAAAAGAAACTTTATTTGCGAATAACTTAAAAATTACACACTTCTCCCTTTGTTATTCCCATGATTATATAAAACATTACTAAATTATCTACAAAAGGAAAAAAAAATCATTGAAATCGGACAATTTTTCGCAAAGATACAGCTTATTGAAATTTGCAGCTATGTTGGTTCCAAACAAAAATGACGATTTAAAATTAATTTTGTTTCCTTTGTCAATTATATTTATCGATAAAGTAACAATTGATTACTTTATCTTTTGATACGTTGCATTATTTTCTTTTCTTATTAATTTGGCATTTGATAACAATATGCTGTGCGAATTTTTTGCATAGGCCTACTAGTTATACATTAATGGGATAGACACATGTATTCTTATTATATTCATTGTATATAATAACCATTTTAATTTAAGTAGTCAAAAATATGATAATTTTTTTCAGGGCAACAATCTTGATAAAATGTGACATGGACTTTGTTTTGTACCCTTTGGATGTACAGAAATGTGCTGTGGATTTCAGTAGTTGTAAGTATGATTTATATTTTTAGTATTTGTTTTCTGAAACTTGCATTTCCTTTGTCATTTTTGTGACAATTCAGAAAGATTTCTGATAATTATAATTAATGAAGCTGGAGATCAGTTACGGGCTTAGTGCGGAATAAAAAAAAAAATAAAATAATTTTAGGTAAGCTAAATGCGATTTATGCAATTTACAGCAGTAAAAAAAAGGGGGGGTAAGGAACAGAATCATTGGTATTGATTGTCTCTATTAATCTAGTATTTGTTCCATTCTTTAAACTGCTGGAAATGAAATTTAACTTACCTAAAATTGTCTAACTTAACTCAATTTGGTCTAACTTAACTATTACCCTGTTATTGATATCCAATGTTCAAACATCAGGGGTCGACTTTAAAACAACTCACAGGATTAACTATATGTAAAAATCTTACATTTCACTCATAGTGAGAAACAAATTATATTCATGTAAATTATAGTTTAATGATAATAATTATAGTTATTGTTCAATAGAAACAAATAATCATTTAAAATTATGTTCATGAAGAGATGAAATACAAAGCTTTGCCTAAGTGGTTTTTAATAAGTCTTTGATCATGATTTGCATTAAATTAAATTAATAATTTTTTTTTTTTTTTTTTTTTTTTTTTTTTTTTTTTTTTTTTTTTTTTTTTTTGTCTATTAAATATGTATTTGCGCCTGTCAACAATAAGTTAACAATCAGCAAATGTGATGTCGGTAATGATAAAATGACATGACAGGCATGGGGAAATTTTTTTTAATTTTCATTTTTGTCAACCTGTAGTGGTATTTTCTTTTTTTTTTTTTGGGTCCTTGTCGTTAAGGCTATCTGGTGTTTTCCCAGGCCAGAGGGTGTGGGCGGGGATTTAAAAGATTTCCTCGGCATCAGAACGTGAACTCGTGACTATTTTTACGTCATTTGAATCATATATCAGGTTGCCGGGCAACAGTGGTACTGAGCACACGTGTGTTAGCCCATTCGGCCACCCTGCCCACACGGCCTGTAGTGATTATCGCCATATGAGAGTTTCTAACCAGGAAGGACCCTAACTACTGTTTGTTTCTTGCCAGGTTTCTGGCTTGGCAGAGATTTTCTCCTATCCTTTTGCGTCAATGGTTGATGTATTTTAGGTACAAAATCCTTGATTGACCTCGAGGTCTAGTATTAGGGACATAGTCCATAGTGTTTAGTGGATCTTGGTGTTCCTTCATCCTGATTAAATAGTCAAACCATTTCAGCTGATGAGTTTCTGGAGCCCTTTGTCTGTAAGAACTCCTTGTTCTCTGATCCTCCCATTGTAGACACAATTGTTTCTTGTTTTCCCCACAATTCTTCAGAGAAAGCATTATATATTATTTCTGAATATATATATATATATATATATATATATATATATATATATATATATCCCTTTTCCGCCTCTTAGGAGTGATAGATTTTATCAAATTATGTATTAATAGAAAGGGAATATCAGGTCGAATGCGTGAATCTGATATTGATGAATTAGGTATCAATACAAAAAGAATATCAATTAGAATGCATGAATCGTGATTTTGATTTCTTATTTTATTCTAGGAGTAGAATAAAAGTGATTGTAAACGTGGGAGGTTTTAAACCATGTGATGGTGTGATCTCAACTAATGATTCAGTGAACGGCAAGAGAAAAATTCAAATAGTGAAATGGTGGTTTGTTTCTATGATGACAACCCTCTTACATTCTTATATATTACTTCTGAATATATATCCCTTATGGGGCTCTCAGGAGTGATAAATTTTGAGGAATGAGGTATCAATAAAAAGGGAATATCACATAGAATGCGTGAATCATAATTTTGATTCCTAATTGTATGCTAGCTCTTAATAAACGTGAATGTAAAAGTGGGAACTTTCAAACCATGTGATGGTGCCATCTCAATGAATCGAGACGTTACGAATGAATTCATAATTTGCGAATAACTCAAAAAGTACACAATTTTTGGTTCATTATAATGAGTATTTGAAAGCTTACTAAATTTCCTGCCAAACCTAAAAAAAAAAAAAAAAAAAAAAAAAAAAAAAAAAAAAAAAAAAAATCACTATAATATGACGATTTGGTGCAGAGTTATAGTGTTTTGAACATTTAGTATTTGTTGTACTACAAAGCTTCTGTTGCATATGGGAATTTAAGATTTTAAGAATTGAATTTTTTTTTTAATTTCAAAGCATTTTTTAAATTATTTTTATTTATTTATTTATTAAGTATTACAATAATCTGTCACTTGAACAAATTAAATTATTAGTTCATTTTTATTTCTATAAATTTGTCTTCAATTAAACAGGTTTTGAAATTTTTGTCAATGTGATTCAATTACATTAGCTTTTACTTTTTGATCTTTATTATTGAAGTTTATCATTTTGAAAACACACTTTTGATTTTTTTTTAATGATAAAATAACATACATTCTGATTGGTCTAACTATTTCTTCCTGAAAATTTGACCCTTTTGTCTTTTGCCGTCAGCAAATGCTCAAAGGAATGCTTAGAAGCTTTTGTAAATTTGTGATAGTCCAGTGAAGAAAAAAGCTAATGTTTTAATTATAAGTTTAAGGAAATGCAATGATTAAACTATGGCAGAGTGTAAATTATATTTATAAAATGATGGCTTAATAAATATATGTATCAAACTTTAGCATATCAAACATTATTGAATGGAAGTTGTGCTGATCCCTTAATGTATTAAAATCGGATACAGATATTAGGTTTGTGCAGAGTATTAGCATGGGTCAGCTAGTATTTAATAATTACAACAAATAAATACAAATTCTATTAAAAACTTCTCAATATATAATTTATAAAGAATATAATAATTTCAGTTTATACGATTTATTCTAAACCTGTATTTCTGTTGAAAACTCGCATTTTGAAATTTTTTTCAATCATAATACTTTCTCTTACTATATATTTTATATGCAGATGAGGGAGAGAAAAATAAAATTGAAAAGTTATTTTGTTTGTTATAATGGGGTATGTTAAATTACTTATTTCTTTTTTTTTTTTCCTGTTTATTCACTTACTTCACTTTCAAAATTTGTATTGGTTGCAGTCACAGTTAAAAACACAAATACCATTTTTATTTTTTATAGTGGATAATTGTTGACTGTAGAAGATGTATTGAAGAGAAGTTTGTCTTTTGAAGAGGAGTTTTCAGTCAATGAAAATGCATCTATTTTCATTGACTGAAAACTTCAACAAACTTCTCTTCAATAATTTTTATTTTTGTTTTTCCTGTGACAGCAACCCCAACTAAATTCCCAACCAATTTGAAAAATATTTATTGTTTGTTCTCGGATGCTAGGTAACGTAGAGGGGAGCGAATTAGATATCTTTCATGTTAACAGTCTCCTAGGCTCTGGCATAACTCATTTATTTATTATATTTGATATTGATTCACTATTTCATATCTCTTTTAGACAAATACACTGAAGAATCTATGGTTTTCCAATGGCTCCATGGTAAATCTTCACTTAGTTTTCCGAGTGATTTTGGAAAAGATGGTTACAGACTTCCGAAGTATGTTGTTACCTTTGAGGCTCAAAATGACAGCCAGTGTGTGTTTTATGGAGAAGGTAGTATTAATATGCTTTTTCATTTTGTTCTAGATTAAGATCTTGTTTTTCAATGAATTTTTGATTCTTTATGACTAATGAAATTATTTATTGCTCTTTTAGGGAACCATTCAACAGCCCGAATGTTGATTACGATGAGCCGAGAGATAAGGAGCCACTTATTGGAAAGTTATCTTCCTAGTACTCTCTTTGTCATCATGTCCTGGGGAAGCTTTGTAGTGATGCCTGAGGTTGTGCCAGGAAGAATGGTCCTCTTAGTGACCACATTATTATCACTAGTCACTATGTTTGATACTATAAGGCAAGTCATAATCAAGATTTTAGCTGTTCTAATATTTGCTATAATTTTATGATCAATAGTAATAATTTTAAATAAATGAACATTTAATTTTTTAAAATTAATGTATAGCATGTATTTACAGGAATAATTCTCCAAGTGCCCTAGAATTGAAGTGTATTGAAGTATGGCTGATTTCGTGCACCTTGTTTGTGTTCTTTGCTCTGCTTGAGTATTTCATCGTTCTTTTTGGTATCCGTTATGACAAGCATTGGCGCCACAAGAAAGCCGAACTAGATTTGCAACGGGACATTAATGCTCAACTTGCAAGGGAGAGGCTAAATAGATTATTTGGGCAAAACAATACTAGGATTATCCCACAGCATCATCAAACTGAAGAAAAAGAACCGACTCCAACTGAAACAACAGAGATAATTTCACCTCCTCCTCCTCCACTACCTTCCACTCCTCAACCTCAGGTCTGTTATTATTTTTATGTAAATTGTTGATATAGTTGGTATCTTCAAGTTTATTTATATCAATTTGTTAAGAATAGATCAGCAAATACAATCCTACTTTAATAACTCGAAACTCATGTTATTGACAGTTTTATTCGAGTTGTCTATACTTCAATTTTTTCGGGTGATGAATAGTCAGGGAGCAGTCATTTTAAGATTTTAGTTGTTGCCGATCTTCCAACTCAAGGTTGCGTGTCATCATCAGGCCCTGTCTGGGTAATGACCCATGATATGTAGGACAGTCTTCACTGTCCTATCAAATTTTTATTGGAATTCAAGATATCTAGGTTGAGGATCATGAGAATTTGGCTTATAAAGGTTTTAAATTAAAACAATAACCAATGTTAATTGGGAGGAATATATAAATTTATAAACAAAAAATGTATAAAATGATTAAATTTTATGTTTCCATATTCGTTTTTATTATAAGAGGAACACAGCGCTCTATGACTGAATATCATTTACTTAAAAACATTGTTTTATGACATAATAATAATTAATACAAAAATGTCTTTTCCAGTCATAGCAATATGTTGCTACATACAGTTAGTGCTTATAATACACTAGTATTGTACATTGTTACACACACTAGATTGAAAACTAAAAATCTTTCTTTTCTAGAAAAATGTTGAGTTGTAGAGGATTTGAATAAACTTCACTTTGAGTTATTGAGGATTTCTTGCTCCATCATCACTCTTTTTGATCGTACTTGGAATTAAATTTTTGAACAATATATACATATTAACAAATTACTTCTACTCAGTATTTTATTATATTTATTGTTCATAAATGTTAAATTATATATATATGAATCATAAAAAAATTAACACAATTTATTCCATTAAACACTTAAGAGTATGATCTCAAAATTAGTTCTATTTAAATTCAAATTTTTAAAGTAAAAGACGTACTACTGGAAGTAACTAAATATACTAAAGTGTATGTTTTTTAATAATGTCAAGTATTCATCTATTTTACTTTCGATTTTATAAATGTTTTAATAGCATGCCAAAGTTTTGCAGAAATATGTAATGGCTCGATCTTTATTTGTTATTTGTATCAAATATTTTTTTTTTTTTTTTTTAGGAAAACCATACAAATTCAATCTCTAAAGCCCCTACACCAACTGTTCCTGAAGCTCATCACATGTTAAGAGTAAGTTAATCAACCTTTTTAAATGTTTAAAGAGTTAATTAGCTGTCTTTCCAATTTTTATGATTTTAGCTGGTTATAAGTGATAAAAATAAATGCAGTTCATTTTAACTAAATATATTTAATTCTTTGCATTCGGCTGTCCCCTGTGAGGGGACATGAAAGTTTATTAGCAATTACGGAGAATGAACTTATTCCACCTCAATTTTTTAATAAACACGTGTTTTCCTGTAGTTTTCTATTAAAATGGCACAAAAAAATTATCAAGATTAAAAAAAAGCAAAAGTTATAATATCTTATTTTTATTTCCCATATGCGCATATATATATATAGGGGCTGGAGTAGCCGTACCGGCTAAGGCACTTGCAATAGGTAATCAAAGTTAAGCAGCGTCGATCGTGGTTAGTACCAATAGATGGGTAACCGTCCACCAGGGAAAGCCATGCTGCTCGAGTCTCCCTCCTCCCCCGGTATGTGAGGTCTGTCAGCCTACTGCAGGCTACTTGCACCGACCGGGCATAGGACTGATGACCCTACCCCGTGTACTTAAATCAGGAATCGGGATGTGGTTTACCAGGATGTTAATAGCTCCCCTGAGGTTCGGTCCATGGACGTCCTTTTCCAGGGAAAAAAATATAGGTCCTCGTGCACCTGCTGACTACGAGCAGCCATAATCCATGGATCTAGACCGATTTGTCACTGCCCTTGTACTCGAAAAAGTGGGTGGGAAGTACATTGTCAGATTGGCCCCAAAGGGATCGGCTATGGAGCTACGAGTGGCCTGCGGCTGCACCATGAAAATCATGGTTTGTAGCAACGTGAGGTTGGGTGACCCCCTCCAGACTATCTGAGCTCCTGCAAGGATGACATATCTGTAAGGAGACCACATCTCGCGGCCAAAGATCTTCATGGTCTGTTGTGCCAACCGAAAAAAAAAAATATATATATATATATATATATATATATATATATATATAAAATCTCTTTAGAAGCTAAAATGAGAATTTCTATTGCTCGAAAAAAAATTATTGAAATTTTTAATAAGAAATCTCACGTTATCCACTAGTGTCATTTATTTTTGAATTTTAATATGTTATTCCTTATAATATTTATGTCCATTACACAAACAATGGAGTATATTTAGTAGTGATACTATAAAACAAAGAAACAAGAAAATCTGATGAAAAATAATAAAGTTACAGAATTATGATCAAAAGATCGATTTTAGGACCACTGTATCATGTTACTGGAAGGTAATGTCCGAAACGGTGCCGTGTGTAAAGGGTTAAATATCATTTTAAATTTTAGAAAATTTTCCACTTGAACTGTGAAAGATTGTTTTTATTAGACTGCTATATTGTCATTAGAGTGAAAATAATGGTAATAGTTTGTAAAGATAAAGAGGACAACAGCATCTCTATGTTTATAGAACAACAGATCAATTTGGTGTACATAAATGGTTTCGTCTACTACATATATTTAAGAAACTTACTATTTCATATCATTGTACAGAAAACAAAGGATGAGTTAAAAATAAAAAATCTGAATAGATATTTTGCTGATGCCAATTAATGCAGTGGAAGGTGCCAGGGAGGAATGTCTGAGTGTAGATAGTTAGGGATCGTTGGCTCTGAACAGAAGAAAAAATCTGTTAACTCATTGGCAAAACAGGTCCATGTATTGATGATGCTCCAGATACTTCTTGGCCACTGAGTCTCAAAGCTATAATCAACTTATATAAATTATCATTTAAAAGTTTGACTAAAATAAAAACGTTTCTCAAAGAAAAAACAGCTAGTTGAAGTGAATAGTAGAATGGTCTACTGAGTTCATGAAAGAATCTATAAATATGCTGGAAGCCGAATGAACTGAGACTTAATATATTAAATTTAAAAAATGTCTATTTGAAGACATTTTGAAATTTTCAGCCTAATATAGTATATGTGCATGTGTGTGATGTAACAGTTGATAAATTAATTTAAATTTCCATAGGCTAGTTTAGATGATCATAGTTACGTAAAACTTATAATAAGCTTGAATAGATTATGAATTATATAAATAGATTAGATTTTATTTGGAACTCTAGGTAAACTGTATATTTTCTCTATTTTTCATAGGTTGAAGCTGACAGCAATGCTGACGTGATCCGATCTCCAAGGTTAGAACCGATGAGTGGTAAACAGAAGTTCCAGATGTTGACGCAGCATGTTATTTTGTACGTCGGGTCGCAAAGAGGAACTATAGATCAGATTTCACTTGCATTGTTCCCTTTCTGTTTTACAATGTTTGCGGTTATATATTGGATATCGTACTTAAGCGAGTCTAGGAGGAGGGCCAGTGAATGACCCATGTTACCACCATGCTCGACCACCTAAGGGCTCCTTTGTTTCTCCTCGATCATTGAGCAACTTTTATGTTACAATAACATAAAAATGATTCCTTTAAGATGGTTTCAGGTTGCTTCTGCCATTTTAAGTCGTTCCAATCCTTGAGGGAAAGAATATGTAATACATATGATAACAACAAAAAATAAATAAATAAAAATTCTTTTAAAAACTACTAAATATTTTCAGGTTAAAATTATTCACATTAAAAATTCTCATTATATTTGCACCTGAAAAGATTGAGAGCGATTTTAATTTATTGCTCTTTTTAATTAATTAATCATGACTTTATTAGAAGTAATTATTATCTATTATTTTTTCACATTTATATTAAATATTTATAATAAGAAATTTTATTCTTAATGTTTTCAGGGTAAAATGATTAAAAAAAATAATTAAAAGGAAATTAAAAAATGACCTAAAAATGTTAATAGGATGTTGTATTGATAAGAAGTATAATCATTTGATAATAATTCAATCAGGCAATTAAGCAGGTAAAGAAACATATAAAAACCCTCTGCAAATTTACACCATATTGCTGCTCTAGTTCATTAATGTAACATTTCCAACAAGGTTAATTTCGAGTTATGTATATCAGTGCCCCGGGGATAAAGGATACCATATCCGTTTTTTATAGGATGATTTGGAAACCAAGGAACAAAGTTTATTAGCTCAAAGTTGTGAAAAATTGGGTCCCTGAACAAATACGAAAATGTGACATAATGCTCTTTACCTCCCGGATACAGATTTAGTAACTAAGAAGATAATTTTTATAGCTCAAAGCTATGGAAAATTGGCTTCTCTAAACAAATAACCAAATGGACATGGTGTTATTTACCACCGGAATACTGATGTATTCTTAGCAATTCAGAAAGATTAGATCTATAGCTTAACAAATTTTTCTCCTTTTCGGCTATACTGGCTTTTTCCCGGGCTAGATGGGTGGTTGGGGATTTATTTCAGAGATAAAACTCATAAAATTTTATCGTTTATCAGGTTTCCAGGCAAGGTGTATCTTAATTTACGAATTAGCCACCTCGTCCACCTATAGTTTATTACTGTAATGTCTTGAAATGGTATCTTTATATCAATTTTTTTTACTATTTTACTTTTATGTTACAGTGTTGAACCGCGTAAATCTTGCCCTAATTGTTAAAAATCTGGTGCGTGCATCAGACAACTTCCATTTACCGCTCTACTTTGAGTAGAAATCAATTTCTGCTCAAGTAGGGCTTGTTATTATTTAATTGTTCTAATCTATCATTGAGGCTAAAGTTATTTAAAGAAAAATAACATATATATTATTACAGTAATGCTCAAAATCGTTTTGTACCAAATATAAGCTCCTTTCATGCTCAAATTCCATGAATGGGGTACTGTTGGATTCAGAATTTCACCGGGGGGTTAGCGAATTGTATTCTCCAATTTTGTTTTTCTTTCTAAAATAATAAATAATTAAAGTCTATACAAACATTTTGCTAGGCTTTAATACTGGAATGGTGGTAAGTCTGTAGATCGATACGGAACGAATTGGGCTTTGAAGATTTTGATGCGTACAGCAAGACTCGAATAGTTCCCTCAGAACTATTGGGTTCTGCGTTTATAAGCTCAAAAACGTTCTATTTTCGAGATTACGCAAAGCATAGGGTTCGTATCCACAGAACCTGTCATTACTGTCATTGGATATATGCCTCATTTCGTCGACTTGAGGCCTCTGTGATCGAGAGAAGAGGAGTTTATATTATTCATCGATGGTGTTTTTGATCAGCAAGCCATATCATCGTTAATTCTTCACCAAATCTCAAGATTGAGCCACCAGTTTTAAAGGCTTCCTTCTCCTTCAGGTGGGCAAAATAGTCCAATCACCCCAAAAATTCAGGCAAACAACTTATGAAAGAAAAGAAACTTTATTTGCGAATAACTAAAAAATTACACACTTGATTACCCTTGGTTATGTCCATGATTATATAAAATATTACTAAATTCCGTACAAAAAGAAAAAAAAAATCGAAATCGATTAGAAATTTTTCCAATATTTTGTTTTCATTTTGTTATTTCTTCATTTTATTATGAATTATATTCATTAGTAGAGCTCTATTATAGCCCATTTCATTTGAAAATAACTATATATTTAGCTATAGTATCAGTATGATGTTGAAACAATTTGTACTGACCGAAGGAAGAAAGTGGGTTCAAATATTTTTTTTATGGGAAAACAGTGTTGAGATTTGTATTTCATACCTCTATCGAACATCACAAAAAGTGGGGTAACATAAAAATGACTCCACGTATCATCACGAAAATTTACTTCTGGAGTTATAAATAGCACAGGGAAAAATCAAATAGAAAGTCAAATCATTGAAGTCGAACAATTTTTAGCAAAGATACAGCTTATTGAAATTTGTAAACCTGTTGGTTCCAAACATTAATCAAGTTTTAAATTAATTTTTGTTTCCTTTGTCGATTGTATTTATCGATAAAGTAATAATTTATTTACTTATCTTTTGATACATTGCATTATTTTATTTTATTATTAATTTGCCATTTGATCACTTAATAATATGCTGTGCGAATTTTTCGCATGGGCCTACTAGTTGAAGATTATTTGCATTTATTTTTCCCACCCATAACAATGCTGAAAGCATCGTGTACTTCATCAAATCATCTTGCATAATAGTATAGAAAAATATCTTTTTGAAATTGCAGTATGGGAATTCTAAACCATGAGAGATTGTTCTTCATTATTAAAGGTACATAAGAGGAAGCTATTTTGGCATTTCAGCCATGTCAGGCTAATTTGATGAGGTTAATTAACTTCCTATTATATGTTTCCCTTACTATATATTTCATATCTATGGTCTCTGGCCATAACTAGGTAAGTCGAAAAATGGTCCTCGTGAGTTCTTAAAATTGAGATCTTCTCCAATCTCCCAAGCATTCTAAACACCGTGAAGAAGTTGGTAACTCACAGTACTAAAACTTTTAGATGTCTTCACGAAAACTGTAAATTTATTAACTTTTTCATGGAGTTTAGAAGGCTTGGAATATGAGCTCAATTCACAGAACTTGTCAGGACCATTTTGACTTTCATACTTACGGCCAGAGATCATAGATATATAGGTAAGCAAAAGTAATACTATATATTTAATATGTAAATAACTGAAATTTAAATGCAAATATCAAAAATTACCTTTTTTTGAAATGTTACACTATTGAACTGGAGTGATACACTATACGGCATGTATGCTTCAGGCAAAGTATTGTATAATAGGCTCATTTTATTATTTATTGAGTATGATGCAGGTGATCTCATTGGTAATATGATAAACTATCTTTGTCTACTAAAGTAAAAGAAAATTTTAATCTCAAAATCAAAATAGATTTCAGTCTCAAATAAAGATATCTTCTTACATAATCTAAATTATTGCTATATCAAAACTATAACAATAAATTGTAATGAGAATGCTTTTTACTCAAACAATTAAGGTGACATGAAATCTTAAGATACATTTTTCTACCTTAGCTAACTGTTAAGATTTTTGAGCCTTATACTAAATGTTATATCACTTTGCCTGTAACATGCATATGATGCCAAATAATAATAATTTTTTAAAAACAAAAAAATAAAATGAAAATAATGCTCAAATAATTAATTTATGTTAGAATCGTATGTAATATGTTAGATATTTCTCCTTACTAATTACATTTTTTATTACCAATTAATAATTTTTATATAGCTTTGGCTCGCTCAATCATGCATTTTAGCTTCATCATTGCTCTATTTTAATGATAGTATTTTGATTATTAAAAAATGATTTGCTGAAATAGTTAATTTTACATGACTAGAAATTATTTAAATTTTTATATGATTATTGTTTTTTTCAAGTACTATAATTGAAGGGTTCAAGAATAAAAAAAAATCAAGGATAGTCCAATCCCCTCCCCTTTTCTAGATGGTTGGAACAAATAATATAGGACCTATGTCAAGATATACGATAGTTGTTGAATGTTTTTTAACTTTCTGTAACAATTACAGAAAATAAGTTTTCCTCAATCAAGTTTAAACTAAACTTTTAATTCTGAATTTCAAAGTTGTGACATCCTTGATTTTTATTTTTTGGTGTTCATTTACATTGAAGCCTGTTGAATATAAATAGTATTCTCACTGTAACTAAGTTGTAATCTGTGGAAACTGCCATATCAAAAATTCACTGGTTCGAATTTCTCTATTCTGGCATGATAAGTAATTTAAATTAGAATCATTATGGTATATTCTAGTATGCTATTTATTAATGATTCCTTGTTGTTACCATACTATTTGTTAATTACTGAAAAATATTTTAAAGTTGGTAATTAACTCATACAAAGATTTTTTACAGCAGTTATTGTGTATTGTAAATATAATATTTTGAAATAAACTTTTCAAAGAAATGTTGTAAAAAGTAAATAGGTTCGTCTTTATTGGAATATAAAGATATATTGTACCTGTTGTTCATTAAGTTTTTTTTTTCATTTAAATCAAATCTATATATTATCTATAAGATTTTCTGAAATTGTTGATGTGAAATACTGTGATTTTTATGTTATTTATTTTTTTGGAAGTAAGTTTAGTTTCTTCATTTATGTTACCCATAATAATCATTTTTGAGGTTATAAACTATACTGTAGGGTTAAGTTTTTTCTGTGATAACTATATTTAATAAAAATATATTTTATTTGTTTGTTATTTTTAAATATTGATTTTTATTGACATAAGTTATAAGTGGAAAATAAATAACCTTTACCACCTTTTAAAAGTTTAGAATATCCTGAATTTTTTGTGGTCACATCATTTATATACTTTTTTAAGTCTTTGAGAAGCAGAAGACTATATACTTCTTTCAAAAACTGAATAATTATTTCAAGAAACTATGAAATGTTTATGTTTGTATACATCTCTACATGTGTTTATTTATATATGT